CTCGTATACCGTGCCCCGGGGAGGGGCCACACGATCCATGAACTTTGATGTATCACATTCAAGCAGTGTGCCAGAAGGCACTCGATCACTGAATCACATTTTATTGTATTTGAGCCAGCGTGCCAAGGGGCACTCGAATTACAGATTTGCTTTTATTGCATCTGAGCCAGCATGCCAAGGGGCACTCGAATTACAGATTTGCTATTATTGCATTTGAATCAGCATGCCAAGAAGGCACTTGGTCCATAAGCTTCGCTTCATTATTGCAAGCGGGAACTCAATCTGCAAACCGTTCTGATAACCTTGAGTATGTGCGACTGTGCTCACTCAGACTTGAGTGCGACACTGCACCCTCGATTACAAACCTTGTCTCAGTGATCTTGAGTGAGTGCGATACCGCGCACTCAGCCAGTAAAGCCCTGCATTAACGAGCTTGAATAACTGCGACTCAACTTTGAGTGGGTGCGACACTGCGCACCGGATCTGTAGAACTCGACTTTGATGATCCCAGGTAAGTGCGATACTGCGCACTCAGCCAGTGAACATTGCATTGATAATCTTGAGTAAGTATGACTGCGCGCACTCAAACTCAAGTGCGACGCTGCGCACTCGATTTGCAAGATTCGACTTTGATGAACTTGAGTCTGTGCGACAATGCGCACTCAATCTGTAAACTCGGCATCGATGATCTTGAGTCTGTGCGACGGTGCGCACTTCATCTGTAAACTCGGCATGACGATCTTGAGCCTGTGCGACAGTACGCACTCAATTTGTAAACTCAGCATTGATGATCTTGAACAAGTGTGACTGTGCGCACTCAAGCTTGAGTGTGACACTGCACGTACGATTTGCAAAACTCGACTTTAATGAATTTGAGACTGTGCGATAATGCGCACTCCATTTGCAAAACTCGACATTGATGATCTTGAGTCTGTGCGACAGTGCGCACTCCATCTGCAAACTCGGCATTGATGATCTTGAGTCAGTGCGACAGTGCGCACTCAATCTGTGAACTCAGCTTTTGATGAATTTGAGTCTGTGCGACAGTGCGCACTCCATCCCAAAAACTCGACTTTGATGAACTTGAGCCAGTGCGACAGTGCGCACTCAATTTGTGAACTCGGCTTTTGATGAATTTGAGTCTGTGCAACAGTGCGCACTCAATCTGTAAACTCTGCTTTGATGAGCTCGAGTCAGTGTGCCCATGCGCACTCAATCTGTGTACTCTACCCTGATGATTTCTGAGCCAGCGCGATAGTGCGCACTCAACTTGTGGACCTCGCTGTCGATTCTGAGAGCCAACGTGCACCCCATTGAGAGCTGTCTCATCGAAGATCCTTGCCAATTCAGGACCATACACCAGTGCGGATTCCCACTCGGGCAAGTTGTCTTAGTGCGCGCCCTGGCTCGGGCAAGTTGTCTAAGTACGCGCCCAGCCTCAGTTTGGCTGTTTGAGTGCGCGCCCAGTCTCAGTTTGGCTGTTCGAGTGCACGCCCAGTCTCAGTTTGGCTGTTTGAGTGCGTGCCTAGTCTCAGTTTGGCTGTTCGAGTGCGCGCCCAGCCTCAGTTTGGCTGTTCGAGTGCGCGCCCAGCCTCAGTTTGGCGGTTTGAGTGCGCGCCCATGCGCGCCCATGCTTGATAACTGTTATTTAAGTGCCTGCCCATGTGCGCCCAAGCTTGTCATTGCTGTGAGAGTGCGCGCCCATGCGTGCCCGAGCTTGGTTTTGCTATTTGAGTGCGCGCCCATGCGCGCCCACGATTGGCATTGTTGTTTTAGTGCGCGCCCATGCGCGCCCATGCCCAAAATTGCTATTAGAGTGCGCGCCCATGCGTGCCCAAGCTTGGAACTACGATTTGAATGCGCGCCCATGTGCGCCCAAGCTTGGAATTGTGATTTGAGTGCGCGCCCGTGCGCGCCCAAGCTTGGAAGTGTGATTTGAGTGCGCGCCCATGCGCGCCCAAGCTTAGTATTGCCTTCTGAGTGTGCGCCCATGCGCGCCCACGCTCGGTATCATTACATGAGTGCGCCCTGGCTCGGGTAGGCTATGTGAAAGTGCGCTCTGATGTTCTGATGATTCTAGAACGCACGCCCCACAGGTATGGTGGTCGGGGACGCGCGCCTTGCTAGTGGGATAAGTCTTGAGGACGTGACTTGATGTCTCTGATGGTATGACTAGCCCCAACTCCCGTTGATTTGATTTCTTGCCGATCAGTCTCTGCATGGACAATATTCATATCAGTCCCTGTGCGGACGGTAATTTTCCTGCACATATGATATCAGCGCAGTCCAATTTGCACATGGAGTATTTTGCAACTGGCCTTCGCATAGATAACACCTTGATGATCAGTCCTCCACAGTGACGATACTGGCAGTCCCAGTCCTCATATTCTAGTCCACTCGTTACAAAGATACTCATATGACGTTGCTATGTTGAGCTGCTGAGCTGCTGAGTTGCTGTTCGGTCGGGCCCATTCAGGCGGGCCCCTATATCGAGTCGTTGCTGTTCAGGCGGGCCCATTCAGGCGGGCCCCTATATCGAGTTGTTGCTGTTCAGGCGGGCCCATTCAGGCGGGCCCCTATATCGAGTTGTTGCTGTTCAGGCGGGCCCATTGAGGCGGGCCCCTATATCGAGTTGTTGCTGTTCAGGCGGGCCCATTGAGGCGGGCCCCTATATCGAGTTGTTGCTGTTCAGGCGGGCCCATTGAGCCGGGCCCCTATATCGAGTTGTTGCTGTTCAGCCGGGCCCATTCAGGCGAGCCCCTATACTAAGTTGATTGATGATCCCATCGAGTTGGGCTATTTTCCTGAGTTGCTGATATCCCCCTTTATCACCAGGACACCATTGTTTGGTGTAACCACTTGTCAGGAGCATTCTACCCTACTTTGCAGATTGGTCAAGCTGGCTCCTCAACATGTGACAACCCCTACATGGGGTAAGCTGGTTGAGAAGTTCTGTTACCGACACATTGGACATTAGAGCTTCGTCATTAAGGCCAACGAGTCTCCCACATCGAGATACACGTTGGTGATCACTTATCACGTGAGAGATGTTGGGCAGGGAATAAAGGGAGCCACCTATGACCAGATTGCTGATTATATTTTCCGCAGGGAGAGTTACTGCGCTGCTGGGAGGAAGAAGCCGGGAGGAAGAAGCCGGGAGCTTCCACCTTGGCTATGGTGGAGCTCCACCGGTAGGAGGAGGAGGGAGAAGGGGACCAAGGAGGAGAGTGGCGAGGTACCTACCTGGCTAGGGTGGACACCATCTTCATCACCTTGTTACGTGCTGCATCTGGAAGGCCCCAGTGGGGTTGTGCGTCATCAAGGAGGCTCGGGACAGAGTCAGGCGTGGCGGTTGAGTGGGCAGTGGCATAGCTGCATGGTGTTGACCTTGGGACAGAAGGGCGGCGGCATAGCTGCTTTGGGTTGTCCTTTGGACAGGAGGGTAGAGCCCTCAGTGCTCCGCCATAGCCTCGGCCTGTATGTAGAGGAAGAGGAAGGGTGGCCATGGCTATGGTGGACCTCATGTTGCGCCTGCAGTAGAAGTGGGATTCGGACATTGATTCTGGTTCAGCCATTCAACATTGTTATTGTTATTTCTTGTTTGAATAAGAGGGGAGAAGACAAGGATGAGGAGATTGGTTGGCGAAGAAGAAGAGCCTTGTCATTGGTCTATGCTGGAGTACATCATCTTCTTCTTCTTTCATACTTCTTCTTCTTCTTTCCCTCTCTCTCCTCTCAAGTTCATTCATTTCTTTTTGCAATTGGACGGCATTGTACTTTCTGATGAATGTTTACTTTAAAATTGGCCAGGATCGTAACATTATTTATTTTTTGGTGGCCCGCCAGGGAGGCACTGCGCGGTCCACGGGCTGCTGACACTTTGTGGAGGGCATTCCCACACTATTACTTTGCAGAATGAATGAACCCGTTTTCCCGGCCTGAGTTCAGTTTCAATTTATTTGTCCTTTTCCTTCTTCCGTGGACCTGACACCCTTGCCGTAATGCCCTCACTGAGGGCATACTCACACAACGACTTTGGGCTAGGTAGCTACCTGGTATCACATCCAGAGGGGTGTTTGTCTTTTTATTTTTATTTTTTTGTGGCTGCTTTTTGAAAGTCTGGCCGTGGTTTTCTCTTTTTCTTTCAGGAGAGTACCAGAAAAGAAACAAAACGGAACCCAGGCTCGACAAAACTCGGTGTGCAGGGAAAATCAGGGTCGACAAAAACAGGCTCGGAGGTAGTGGTGGCTTAACCCTAACTGGTGCATTGCCCAGCAGGCCCTCCGGCGCACAGTCCAAGAGGTGAGGTCGCACAAGCATCCTGCAGCGCTTGTGCATCTCACGCGGGACAAAAGATATCCCAGGCTGCACTGTAGGAACTATTAATAGTTGCTTGACTTGGTCTTGGTTTGCTTCTGACCCGTACTGGTTACCAGCGGCCTGTCTGCTGCATGAATTTTGGTGGCCTGGTACCTTCTGGACTTTTCCTGGGATGCTGGTGCAAAATTGGACGTCGGGCCTGGGCTTCCTTGTCGGGTACGGGTTGGACTTTTACTGGTCTGATTCGGTACTGGCCCAGCACTGACTTTCGACATTTCAGCCTCCTACGGACCTAAGGACCCTAACGACCCTACCTGGGACTCGCCTACTGGACAGGTGGGACCGGGACCATCTGGTACTGGACCCAACTGGAACTGGGACGATTTGGGACTCTGGAACCAGGACTCGGGTGTCTGCAGTATGAAATCCTTTCATCTCTTTTAGATGTTGATATGTTACTTGGCCTCGTATTGGCTGATGTGGTCTTGACATTTAACATTTGACCTTTTGACATTAGACATTTGGACTTTGACATTTGACATTTGACATTTTTGACAGTGGACATTTGGCATTTGAGAATTTTGACAGTTTTCATGTGTATGCTGGGACTTTTTCCAGGTGTGGGGCCAGAAAGCAGAGGATAGTGACGAAGATTGGGAATGTGTGCAGACATTATCTGGTCCTGGCTGGTAAGCTGATCTTAGTGTTCTACCTGTTTCTCGTTGCGCTGAACCTTCTCTCTCCTCCTCCACCACCTGGTCAAGCGCGTGCCTACTTCCCAGCCTGCAAGATGCTTTTTGTCCTCAATTCTGTTCCTCCCCCTACCACCAGAAAAAAACTAAGCTATATTCCTCTCTCAAGTATACCTTACAATACTTGCTATATATGACTAAGCACCCCAGGAAGGACCAACCAAAATCCAGAGGGAGCAACCAAAATCTACCAAGCCTATGAGCACCTGCTCCCCCTCGCCCCCCCTCCCCCCCCTCGCTTGACTACCGTCGTCACCCGAATACAACGTACGGTCATTATTGCTGTATCTAGAATTGCCCCAAATACAGCTACAGTGTTACATCTTCGACGCCACACGGGTCCTACCGGACCCGACTTAGGGCTAGAGGGACACATCAGGGCCTAAAGGCCCGACCTTGGGGGTACTACAGGCCATAAAGGCCTCACCTTGGACCAGACCCGACGGGCAGGCCCAAACGACATTACCGTTTGGGCCTGGCGGCGCTCTTGAGGCTGCCGCCCGCCGGTTGGGGCTGAACCGTCCATCTGGACGGTTCAGGGCACGGCCAGGCCTCGCAGCATTGAGGCCGGCCTCTGCCCCACCGGTATATAGAACCGGTCCAGCCTCAGTCCAGGATCGACCTACCGGCATTCTACCGGTACGGTATGGTACAGCGCTAATCAGCGCTGGCGCTATCTTTAGCGCAGGAGCAGCGAGGAGCAGCGCAGCGCAGCGTTAGCGCAGCAGTAGCGAGCGAGCAGCAGCAGCGGCGACTGGGTTACCGGCGGCCATAGCCGCCTGAGGTATTGGGAGTTGGAGGCTTCTCTCCTCCCTCCCATCGCCAGTCCCCTCTCTCTCTCTCTCCTCCTCGGCTCCT